CTAGTCTCTAGTTAGGGTTAGCGTTGGGTTAGGATTAGGGTTAGCGTTGGGTTAGGGCTAGGCTCTGGTTAGGGTTAGCGTTGGGTTAGAGTTAGTCTCTAGTTAGGGTTAGGGTTAGTGTTGGGTGAGGGCTAGTCTCTAGTTAGGGTTAGCGTTGGGTTAGGATTAGGGTTAGCGTTGGGTTAGGGCTAGGCTCTGGTTAGGGTTAGCGTTGGGTTAGGGCTGGGCTGTAGTTCGAGCTAGTGTCGTGTTTAGGTTGGGCTGTGATTAGGGATAGGTTTTGGGTTCCTGATGAGGGGGTCTATGAAGGAGCCACATTAGAAACTCTTTAGTGAAATCTCCTCAGTTTAAATGACTCAATGCAAAAAACCGCAGTCCAGCAAATCCCATTAGCACAGTGCATGTCTCCTGCCTGCCTGGAGCTGAACATGCTTCCTAAAGGAGGCCAATGCCATCATCTCTTCCAGCAGAGGACTGCCTGCTCTTACCCAGTTGTCCTGTCCCCTGCTCTAATCACTGCAGTCAGCGTCTCCACTCAAGGCTGCAGAGGGCCAGGCAGCCCCCCAGCTCAGGGGTGTGCACATGGTGAGGGTGAATTGTGCTGAACGTTTTTTTTCACGAGCTGCTCCTGGAGTTTCCCAGTCCCTCTTAGCCCATGAAATGTTAGGGTCCTGCCCTGTCCCCACTCCAGCAGATGCATAGCGTTTCCTGCTAGGATGGATTCGCTAGTTGTCTTCACGCTTTCTCATCTTTCCTTCTATTATTGGGAGAAAATTTCCTTCTTCCCCACTTTTTATTTACATTTTTGGGAGCACAACACACAGCCTCTTCCCTGGCTGCTGTTGCCTCCAATTAGCCTAACGAGGATTCTTTCAAGAGGTTAACGCCCCACTAGCCCATACCCGGAGGGCAAACAGCAAATGCACAGAGCTGCTTTCACCCTGAGCCTTAGGGGCACTGGCCATGTGGGGTCAAAGTTTTAATTGTCACTTTGATAACCTTCCTTTTGTAATGGATCGAGCAGAGTTAAGGTCGTTTTACTTCACTGATATAAACAATTTTTAATTGAATTCCAGTTTCCAACGAAATGCAGCTTGACACAACTCCGAGTAAACAATTAGCATGTAGTAAACAAGAAATGTGTCATTCACCATTTTCTAGCTTATTAACAAACGTCATAAGAATCTGAAGCAATATACGATAAGCGATTGTTGTGTAAATAACTGTGGTTAGTGCAGCGTATCATCCTGGTTAGCAAAAAAGAAGCACCACCTTAGTATCTAGGCTGTCTTTGCTTGCAAATCAGCAAGTTTTCATAGTTATGTCAACCAATGAGAGAGAACCATTTCAAGGAAAATAACTAAATAGTAGAACTGCAAAACCAGATGAAAACCACAGATTTAAATTAAGGTTTCCTGCTCGCTGATTTAAATCAAGGCCCCCTGCGAGTGACTGAGCTGCAGGGAGGGCGGGGGTGCTAACAGAGTGGCCTTTGGGGATTTAAAGCCTCCCCTTCTGCTCACTTGCCCACACCCTTGGAGTGGGGCCCTTGCGTGCTGGAGCTGTGGGCCTGCTTGTCTTCTTGTGCAGGCTGGTTTTACACAAGGGTCACTTCGTGGACTTCTCTAGGGTTGCTCCTGATTTCATCCAGAGTGAGTAAGGCCCCATGGATGAAACCTATCTCATTTGGAGCAGGTATCTGTCAGGCACTGGCTAAAAGGCTGGTGTCCTCAGAGCCCCCGAGAGCACTGAACTAACCTCCTGTGAGCTGTCATGCCCACACGTGGCATTCCCTTCCCAGCATTCCTGGGTGCCCAGGGTGAGCTGGGCATCTCCCAGTGTGCGTCTGGCATAGGCTAAGGATGCAGAAACACAGGTTCCTGCATGCCAGGTTAGGCACTGAAATAACTTCCCTCCGGGGGCTGAATCTAGATGGTAGGGCCTGACTGTAGCCACCTGGGCTTGGAAACTGTGGCTTATGGCAAAGAGCAGAACAATCCCCTTCCAAATGCATGTCCAAGGGGGAGCAAAAAGGCTTTTGAAAAAGACTCACTCAGGTGAGTGGTGATCTAATGGGCAGTGATATACATACGACCAGTAATTCTGTTAAAGGTGCCCAGATCTGTACCATGCAGACTCGAGTTACAATGAAATACTGCTGGGAGTGCTGTCCTCCTCTACTTCACTGTCAAGATCTGCTGTCTCCTACATCCCTAGCACCTAGGGGGCGCTGAGCTAAGGGTGTGCACCGACCGGGCACCGCAGCACAGCCTCCCCTTGGTTATCAGCAGGAGGAATGGGAATGTTCACAGAGATGGCTTGAACCCAGTCTGGGGACTCGCTAACCGTTCAGTAGGCGGGCAGGTGTTCGTCCAGAAGGGGCGCTGGGGGTGGGAACTGCACACCACTCTGTGGAGGGGGTGGAGCTGGTAGTCCATGGGTGTTCCTGAAGCGGGGAAACAGAGCCTTGGCAGGTAGCAGCTTCCATCTCCCTTCTCAGTCTGGGCTCATCAGAAACGTGCTGATGAGCCTGTGTGTGCCCTGCCCCATGGTGACGGGGGTCACGGACTCTCACTCTCTCTCTCTTTCCCTCTCCCGCCCAGCCATCCCGTCCGCCCCCCAGACCGTGATCTCCAGTGTGAACGAGACGTCGCTGATGCTGGAGTGGACCCCACCCCGGGACTCCGGGGGCCGCGAGGACCTGGTGTACAATATCATCTGCAAGAGCTGCGGCTCGGGGCGCGGCGCCTGCACCCGCTGTGGGGACAACGTGCAGTTCTCCCCACGCCAGCTGGGCCTGACAGAGCCCCGCATCTACATCAGCGACCTGCTGGCCCACACCCAGTACACCTTTGAGATCCAGGCCGTGAACGGGGTCACCGACCAGAGCCCCTTCTCCCCACAGTTTGCCTCAGTCAATATCACCACCAACCAGGCCGGTAAGGAATTGCGCTCTCTGTTGTTGAGCCAGGCTGAGGCTCAGGGATGGGAATGGAGTCAGGAGCCTCTTGCTTCCTGGTCACATTGGTGGTGACCAAAAGCCTGTCCCACCCGAGGGATGGTCAGTGACCAGCCCATTTCCCCAGGCACAGGGAAAACATCCCTTGTCCTAGCAAAGAGACTCTTTTTGTGTGTGTTTGTACAGGGCCTAGCACAGTGGGGGCCTGTCTGTCCCTGGGCTTCGAGGCACTACAGTAATCCAAACAATGGGCTGTAGCGGTCACCTGGCAGGGCGTTGTGGGGAGCTTGCATTGCCACTCTCTCTGGTCTGGCCTCTCTGCGAGTGCTGCCAATGCTCCGGTAGCCGGAGCTGGGGCGCTAAGGTGGAGGGGCTGGTGGGAGGGGTGGGAGGGTGCACAGGGAGTGCCAGGTCCGCACTCAGCAGCTCTCGCATGATGATGTCGCAGGGGATGATTGCCGCAGACAATTGCTAATAAGAAGCACCACTCCAAGGGCAGTTCCATTCTGCTCCCTCGGGCCAGAGTCCAGGAGTCTCCAGGATCTCAGAGGCTTTTGGTTTGGGTCTGTTGGACTGTGGCTTGAGCTCATAACTCAACTGGTGGGCCGGTACCGGGTCAGCGTCAGCGTGCGTGAGCATCCAGATCTGTGTGCTGGTGTGCCTGGCTGAGCTGTGCGTGTGAGCGGGCCTGAGTGTGAACAGTGTGTCTGTGTGCTGGGAGAGAAATAGCGTGGGCACGGCTTGGCTGTGCCAGGGGTCTTTCTGGGTAGGACTTGGGGGGGGGGTGTAGGACATGTGGGCAATGTGTCTGTTTCTGTTCTAGTTGGGAGAGAGCTAACCCTTTCCCTCCGAGGGGCTCCTCCAGCGTTTAGAAGCTGTTTAACGCTCTGATTTCACACCTTGCAATTAAGCGCTGCAATCGCTACATTAATGCCCCAACT